TGCACCTATGCAAGTTTGTCTGGATAGGCCCTTAAAGTATGACTATCGCGACGCGAACACCTAGTCGCCATATTAGTTTCGGTGACGCGAACGTATTGGAGCGTATTGGAGTGAGTAGGAGTATATTGGGGCATGCGACACGAACAAACCTCTCGGGTCTTAAGCGTCGTCTATAATGGTAGTAGGATTAATGGATTAAAGCTGTAACTCAAGAAATTGACCAATCACAGTCGAGTATTTTTTTGATGCTTGATTGATCAATTTCTTAAGTTACTGCTTTAATCCATTAATCCTACTGCCATTGTAGACGACGTGTTAAGGTCATTCTACAATGGCCGTAAGGCAAATTGACCAACCATTGTCGATTATTTAAAAAATAATCAACTAGGATTGGTCAATTTGCTTACGACTGACGACTTACGACTCATTGTAGAACGGGCCTAAGGTTGTAAGGCGTAAGACTCAAAAAATTGATCAATCACAATCGAGTATTCTCTTAATACTTGATTGTGATTGGTCAATTTCTTGAGTTTTACGCCTTACAACCTTATGCTACGTCCATTATAGAATGACCTTTAAGCGTCGTCTACAATGAGATTTTAAGGAGACTTAAAGCGTAAGACTTAAGAAATTAACCAATCACAATCGAATATTATCTTAATACTTGACTGTGATTGGTCAATTTCTTAAGTCTTACGCCTTAAGTCTTCTTAAAATCTCATTGTAGACGCCGCATTAAGAATTTACCCTGGCCTCAAGACAAAAAAGATAGGGCGTTCGAAAATATGTTTGGTTGGTGGGGGATTGCCCGATTAGACACAGTACGATTAGCCAATCATATCGACCGATGCCTAGGGTAACCAGCACGATCAAGCACGATTAGTCAATCAAAGCCAGTTGTGTCCAATTGTACTGTGTCTAATCGGAGGTGTCTCGGTTGGTGTTGGGAAAAAAGATAAAGTTGGCAGTATTGAAAACTCCTAGTGCTGCGTTTCGTTTCTCCCACTGGGATCACTAGGATTTAAAAAATTTGCTACTTGAGATATTAAAAGAGGTAAATAAGTAGTTAAATATATTTTATAATAATATGTTCAATAACATCACATATTATTATTAATACGAACGTATGTTTTATATTAATAATGCTATAATTATAATAAAGTGACATAATTTACCTAAAATGTGATTTAAATTCAATATTTGTATATCTGGTAACAACATTTTCCAAATAATCTGTTATTTTTGGTACTATTTTCCTTTCACCTCTATTGTTATTACCTCTATTTTCGAATAAAATATTTTGTAATTCTTCATTATTATCATCACTATCTGAAGAAGAACTACTCGAAGATTCAAAAATGATGTTTTCGAGTAAAATATATTGTTCCATAATAATAATTAGTATAATTGCAACACTTTCATATATTGTACACTCCGCGACAACGATTCGTTCCGCGGTCCCTCCGCGGGGCAAGGGGAGCATAGCCCCTAACCAATCAGCCACTGCCACGCTGCCAGCTGATTGGTCACTTCTACACTCCCCTTGCCCCGCGAGAGAGGAGCCAGGGAACGAATCGTTGTCGCGGAGTGTACATACATACGGTACAATACAATCCTAATGATCCCACTGGGAGAAACGAAACTTAGCACTGGGAGTTTTCAATACTGCCAACATTATCTTTTTTCCCAACACCGATCAAACATATTTTCGAACGCACTAATATTTTCGAACGCAAAGCAAACATATTGGGTGCTTTCCAGCAAGCAACACAGGCGACACTGTGTCGCTACAGTGTCGACACAGGTGCTTTCCAACTACGACACAAGTCGACACAATCGTACACAGCAAAAATGCTGTGTTCGCCTGTGTCGTCGTTTTGTAGCACCCCAGTGAGTGCCAACATAACATTTCATATTTGGTATCATTAATTTTTTTAAGAATGGTATTGCGTGATATTGCGTCCAAAAGACATCAAAAGACGACTTAAAGACATCTAGACGTCTTTAAGATGACATAATGTTGTGTGGGAACGTTCTGAAAATTTAGACCTAGTGACAACTATTAAAAGTGACTGCCCTGCACTCTAGTGGCAAAATAAAAAAGCTAAAAAGCGTTCCAGCTACAAGTCGACACTGTGTAAGGGCCTATCCAGACAAACTTGCATAAGACATAAGCATATACATAATCATAACCATAATAAAAGCTTATCTAGATAAACTTGCATAAGCATAATATATAGAGAAATCGACCAATCATAAAGCTGCGTTCCGAAATTCATTGTCAATATTGGCAATTGGCAATGAATTTCGGAACACAATCGCCGGTGTTATTATACTATAGTTTATTACCAAAGAATAAAATATTTGCCTCGTTTCGCGACAGACTTCTATAATACAACAGTAAAGATCAGCGTATATCGATGGAGGTGATAATACATACTTTATTAACTTATATTTTAATTAGAAAACGTCGTTTTTTAAAAAAAAATAAACATAAAAGAAGATGGTGGGTGCGTCCTATAAATAATATGAGAAAATACCAAGGAGATTTTGCGCATCTTTTTCAAGAATTAAAAGATGATAAAGATATGTTTTTTCGTTATACTCGTATGGACGAGGATACATTTAACTTATTGTTAAATAAAATACGAAAACATTTAGAAAAATGTAATTGGCGAGCATTGCCTCCAGAGCAACATCTAATAATTACACTCAGGTATCTTGCAACAGGTGACCAGATGACTTCATTAGCATTAGCTTATCGTATTGGTGTATCAACAGCACATTTTATAGTACGAGAAACATGTGAAATAATTGCTAATGAGCTTAGCACTGAATATCTTAGTTTACCAACAATTAATGAATGGAAAAATATAAGCACAGGTTTTTGGCAAGACTGGAATTTTCCAAATACAATCGGTGCAATGGATGGTAAACATATTCAGATACAAGCACCACCTAAATCTGGTAGTAAATTATAAAAAAACGTTTAGTATTGTGCTTATGGCAATATGTGATCATGAATACAAGTTTTCTGTAATAGACATAGGTGCTTTTGGCAGTGACTGTGATGCCGGAGTATTATCAAAAATCATTATTTGGCAAAGCACTGTATGATCAAACGCTTAATATATCGCATGAAACAAAAAAATTACCTGGATGTAATATAGAATTGCCTTATTTTGTCGTTGCTGATGAAGCTTTTCAACTGCATAAAAACGTCCATATTCTGGTCGATGTTTAAGCGATGATAAGAGTATATTTAATTATCGTTTATCGCGTGCCAGACGTGTAATCGAAAACACTTTCGGCATCTTAGTATCACGATGGCGAATATTTCGTCGCCCAATATGTGCTTATCCATCAACAGTGGATCGATTAGTTATGGCATGTGTAATTTTGCACAACTTTTTAATGACAGAAAATGCAAAAAAAACATTAAATGAACAAACATATTGTCCACCAAACTTTATCGATCATGATAATGATATAGGAAGAATAATACCTGGTACTTGGAGAAATGAATCATCTTATCTTGAAAATATAAGGCCTACCAGAGCACACAGAGCAACCCGTGAAGCATATGAACAACGAAATACTTTAACTAAATACTTATTATCACCTGCAGGTGCAGTTACATGGCAAAATGAATATATTCATAGAGGATCTAATGACGATTTATTATATGGGTAAAGATTTAACTTTATATATTTTTTCAGTTCTTTTACGTAATTCATATGCGACAAATAACTAAAAATCATCTTCATCCATTTTTTGTTTTTCTAGGTAATTTTGAGATAGATAAAATTTAAAAATAATTTTTCTACTTTATCTGTCTCTTTTGTCATTTTCTATTTTCTTCGTATTCTGTCTTACTTTTTAATATAACTTGCATATAATTAATGACACATGCATTTCATAACTTAATAATAAAGGATAAGATTGTAAAGAATATCTTTTATAAATATTTCATAAATATACTTTGCAATTATTTTTATATATTAATCGCTGTTGATTGATACTTTTTCTTAGGATTTTTATTATGAATAAAGATTTTGCAGTACAATTAATTTTTATTATAAATTACAGAAATGAAAAACATTTAAAATTATACTTACTTGGAATTGCAGATTTTTGCGGAATATTCCTTTTGTATCTTTTTCTCCATAAGAAAGTTTCTTTCGATATAAAATTTGTATAAGTTCTACAAATATTAAACTAATTATATGTATAAAAGTAACAAAAATATAAAATCTAAATTTCTTATTAAAGAATAACTAGATTTACTTTCTAGATTTGACAAAAGAATCCAAAAATTTCATCTGATCTTATAAAAATGTTGATCTTGTGCATGCCTCACTGGATCCTTTTTGTGTATATTTTTGACATAGCTACTCTTTTATCATAAGAAAAATTTTTACAAGATGTATTAAACATTTGTTTAATAATATATAAGTATTAATATGAATAATATAAGTAATTAATATATAAAATATATTTTGTTTAATAATAATAAGAATACATTTAATTTAATAATAAGTATATTTTGTTTAATAATAAGAATATATTTGGTTTAATGATAAGTATAATAATAAGTATAAGTTTAATAAGTATATATTTTATTTAATAATAAGTATTAATACATTAAATTAATTAACTAAGTATAACATAGTATTTAATTGCACCTTTTTGGCGTTCTAAAAAATAAAATGAACATTTTAATAAAACGAAAATAACAATGTTTAGAATTACTCTCTCTCTTCCAACAAAAATATTAGCAAAATAAACATATGATTTCGATAACACTTCTTATACTTTTTTATATTACTCTTAAAACAAGTGTTGAGTTTATAGGAACTTTACGAAATTTATAGAAACTCTACGAAACTTATAGGAACTGTACAAAACTTTATATCTGACAATTACGCAAATTATCAAATTAAAATAATAACTAAAAATTATTTTATGTTCAAATAAATTTAAAAATTATCAAAATAAATAACATACTTTGCGAAAAAAACCTGTGTCTTTTACATGTAACGGAATTATCTTTTTCAATATAATTAATATTTATGTTAATTTATGTTGAAACTTTTTATGCTTCACACTTCATATAATTCAAAGTTTCAAGCTGCAAAGCTGGATGTTTATTATGTAAACCCTGTTGGAATTGTGAAATTCATGTTAATTAATAAGTTGGATTTATGTATATATATGTATATAATTTTTATGACTTAAAATAATCGAAAATTATAATATATACCTTTATAACTCATATAAAATTTTCATAATTTTTCCCTTTAACTCCATTTTTTTTGGCTCCTTCCTTTTACGTAGTTCGTGTGCAATGGTTTGACTAAAAAAATCATCTTCATCCATTTTCTGTTTCTCTAGATAATTTTGAGATATAATAGATGATACATTTACAAGCGATTTTTCTATTTCATCTGTCTCTTCTCTTATTCTCTTTCTATTTTCTTTGTCTTCCTTTTTATGTTTTGATATTATTTCCATACATGGTTTTATCGATGGCACACACATTTCATTATTTGGTAATAAGGTTGAGGATTCCAATAAAGCTGCAGGTGCAAGTGTGGATGAAGATGAAGATGCAGTTGAAACTGATAATTGTGGTGGCGGTGATGGCGATAATGATGATAATGGTGACAGTGATTGTAATATTGCAGATGAGCTGTAAGTAAAGATGTAGTGTAAAAACATTTTTTGTACATACTTACTATTGGTATAAATATTATATAACTATATATTATATGAACTTACCCTAACAGCACACATGTCCGAAAGATATCCAAAGGATATCCATAGGATATCCATAGGAGATATTCTATGGATGTCCTTTGGACATCTTTTGGACATGTGTGCTGTTAGGGTAATTATACTAAATTTTTTAAATTTATTAATTTGAAAATATTTTGCAATACTTTAAGTTATAACAAAATTATACTTACTTGCTAGATGCAATTGTAGATTTTTGCGGAATATTCTTTTGTATCTCTTTTTCCATAGGAAACTGTGTTCCTTTCGGTATAAAATTTGTATAAGTTCTACAAATATTAAACTAATTATATAAAAGTAACAAAAATATTAAATCTAATTTCTTATTGAAGAATAATTAGATTTACTTTCTAGATTTTACAAAAGAATCCAAAAATTTCATCTGATCATATAGTGAAAATGTAGATCTTTTGCATGCCTCACTGCCGCTTCTACTTTCAACTTCTCTTTTTTTCTTTTCACGAGAAAATTTTTCTCTTAGCCTTTGCCATCTGCTTTGACAATCTGTAATTATAAATTGAAAAATTTTGATAAAAATCAATGTTATAAAAAATTAATAAGACATATATATATATATATATATATATATATATATATATATATATAAGAAACAACCAAGAAAATTACCTGGTAATTTTAAAATGGAAGAAATTTTCATCCACGCACGATCTTTTTTGTGTATATTTTTAAAATCGGCTACACTTTTATCATATAAATGAGGAAAATTTTTTACTACATCTATTAAAATTGTATCAATATCAGCTTCATTATATTCATATTCTTGAGTGAAATCATTTGCTTTGTTTGATTCCATCTTCTCCAGTATTTATAGTATTCTCCAGGTTTTTTTCTTCTGAATATTGTTGTTGAACTCTGTAAATATATTTTACAATTATTTTTGTATTGATCGCATACTTTTTCTTAGACATTTAAATTGGCATTTCTAACTGTACTTTTTATTATTATATTCTCCTAATAAATCGATTATAGAAAGGTATAAATATATAATCAATAATAATGTACGTATAATGTATGTAATAATGTAAAAATATGTAATCAACAATGTGTTTGCAATTCATGAATTTAATACGACAATCACTATATTTATTTATAATTGTATGCATGGAAAGATTGATATATTAAAAAATTGTAAGAATATATAAAATTTATAAAAATTTATATCAAATTCTAATATTGTAAATATAATGGAATATTGTAAATTGTGGTAAAATTAAATATATATTAGCTATAAAAATGTATATCATATCTTATCATTATACAGAAATATTTTTTAATTATTTATATTATTATTTTTTTATTTTTTTATTTTTAGGAATCTTACCTGCACAATGGAACTTGGTGAGCGAAAACTGAATGAAGCCGGTTGTCAGAGAATCAGACTGGTTTAATCATAGATAATAATAAGTATATAGATTACCGGATGATATTCTAAAATAATGTCACAGTAATGTCCTATAAAATGGCATTAGCTCTTGCATACACGTATGCATAAAATTTCAACGATATGAAATCTAGTGACTTTACTTTTGCTTGTGCATATGTTACATTTATGTTGATTTCTGTTTCATCACGATTTTGTTATAAAAGACGTGATTGGCTTAGCTCACTATGCATACGCCATGCAAGCTTTCTGGATCCACAAAATTTTTCGACATTATGTATATATTTTATGCTATAGTATAGTATTCCTTAAATGAGACATGTGATTGGTCCATTTTCTTATGCATATGCTTATGCACTTATGCAAGTTTGTCTGGATAGGCCCTAAGGGCTATCGCACACGAAATTGCATAGCTGCATGTGCATAGCATAAGACCATATGGACCAATGAGCATCGAGTATTAAGTCGCCATATTGACTTACATAACATAATATTTGATGCTCATTGGTCCATATCGTCTTATGCTATGCACATGCAAGCTATGCAATTTTGTGTGCGATAGGCTTAACACTGTGTCACACAGGGTGCTTTCCAATTGTTTAACACATCTTAACACAAACATACACAGGAAGGCACAAAGTGTAGCGATGTGCACGACTCAATTGGAACAAAGTTAATGTGCGACTTTCGAGTGGAGGGTTAGGATTCTTCATAACCATGTCCATCTTGATATTTTTTAATCCATGCTGAGGGTGATAGCATCGATATATAAAATGGATTGACCATTGCGTGTAGACAGGCATCAAATTCGATGAAAGTTTCTTGATCATCACTCAAACAATAAATAACGCCCTCATTCGAATAAATAGTTTTTTCCTTAAAGCAAATATGTTCATACAATTCTTCTCCATTTGGTAAAAGGGAAAAACATGTTGCACACGTAAAATTTGTGTAATTAGTCTGTAAATAATTCGAAGCAAAGTTATTAACATACATAGATGTATATATATGCATAATATTATATAATATATAAATAATATATAAATAAAATATATAAATGCATATTATATTAATATATAAATATGAATGAAAATTTAATCAGTAATATATCTAACCTGCAAATATGCAAAAGAGACAATTTTATTTTATTTATTAAATATAATAAAAAAATTAATTGTACAAAAACTCATTAATTTGAATTACTTACTTCAATGATACTTTTAATATTTTTATTGTCCATTTTTGTATTTGTATGGTGTACTTTAATGGTTGTCTTTTAATTAAAAAGGATAAAACGAAAAGAAAATTGCCAACATAATCGCCGTCAGTCTGTAACCGCATATTTCATTTGTCCCTAGAAAACAGAAGGTTACACAAGTTGACTAGTAGCCCTCGAGCTGAGTACGGATGTGTAAAGTTGTGTCGGCAGTTACGGCAATTGGACGCGACTTGTGTCGCCGTGTGCATAAAAGTGTCTAGGGATATCTCAATTGGAAAGCACCCATTTTCAGTGTATCACTGTGTTACCATAGCTGGAAAGCACCCATTTTCGAACGCACTAAATGTGGGGACACCGCTGTACCTGATTGGCTATCAGAAATTCCCTATATTATATATTACTATCTTAGATGTTTTTATGTTTTATATACGTACATACTTCCTCAGTCAGTTTTCTTTTGTACAGAGTCGTTAATAAGCAAAATAAAATAAAGAGGTTCACGATAACCTGCGCATACATTAATTCCACTATAGTAACAGTAGCCACAACCTTTTTATTCTGAATAAAAAAAAATGCCCGTCACTCCAGCCGACTCTTAAATACTATTTGTATATATCAAATACTATTTGCACGTGCGTGTATGTGTGTGTAGATATGACAGCTACCGAGCCGTAATGTTTCCGATAACGTGGGCGTATATGTGATATATATATATATGTGTGTATGTGTGTGTGTGTAGGTGTGTGTGTATGGTGCGTGATATTTTGTGTTTTCTCTCGATTGAATCGCGATTACCGGCTCGTGTAATCCTTTTCCAAAATTTCGTCTTTTCAGATACAGTTGTTTTACTTACGATTTTTCATATCGTCATAGTCGGTTCTTCTGTTTTTTTCTTTTTTTCTACTTTGGCATCCATGCGTAAATCATGTATTAATACATGCAACGGACACTGCATCATGCAATAATATTGTTATTTAAGCGCTCTCGACGTAAAATTCTTTTTAATTATGGGTAAGTTTGTAATAATTGTGAGCTGTTTCATGAAGGATAGTTATGTATGTCTGTTTTCGTAGAGGATTCTATGGAAGCACAAAAGTGGCAGCAACATCTGTCCCTGCTACGAGAACAATATGTCAATTTGTACAATTCAAATATAGAACTGCAAAAGGAATATGCTATTGCTACAGCTGAGAAGCAAGAGAGTGGATTTGTTAGTAGGCTTCTGGCAACTATAGCATCTTTATATTGTCAACATCGTTACAGGTATCTTATATATAACTTGAAATTTTGTGTTTTTATGAAGAATTATATAACATTTATAATAAAAAATGTTATCTTAAAGCTATATCTTTCAGTGATATAAATATAAAATTGATTGATCAAGAAATACCAGCACATAAATTTATATTGTCTGCCAGGACTGATTTTTTTAGTGATACAGCTCTTGTTGAAAAATCTGTTTTAGGTAATATATTATCTGTTTATTTGTTTCATATTTATGATTATTAATATATTATTATATGTTTATTGTAAAATTGTTTGTAGATTGGAGCAATTTAAATAGTACAGTAGCATTAGTGTTGTTAAAATGGATTTATACAGGCAAGGTATCTCAAGAACATTTAACATTGGATTTAATGAAAGCAGCAGCTGGCTTTCAATTGTCAGAAATGGTAGATCAATGTGAAAGATATTTGATTGGAACAGTGGGATTGAAGGATTGTGTGGAATTATATGCAGCAGCTGAGGAATTGGGTGCTTTAAAGTTAAAGGAGCATTGTAGTTCTTTAATTTCAGCACATTGGGTAATTACATGTCAACTGTAGTAACAACATTATATGTGTTATATATATATATATATATATATATATATATATATATATATATATAAAATAATCAGAAATATTTATATAACTTATAGGAAGATTTAACAGGCGAAGATTTCAAAGAGATGCTAGGTTCTTTGCTGTATAAATTATTACAAACTAAGAGTAAATATCCTTTACATGCAGCGGTACGTTTGATGCGCGAAGACGTTGTGTTTCTATACTTAGTGGAAAATAACGCCGAGGTGAGTCTTTTTTTCCTCTTTATAATATGATAAGAAGTTTCTTTCTCTTTTTATAATAAAATTAAGAAATCTAACATGATGTAATATGTATATTGAAATAAATTTTACTAAATTAATTAAAATTAAATTTATTATAATACAGACAATTATATATATATATATATATATATATATATATATATATAATTGTCTGTATTATAATAAATTTATACACACACATACACACACACACACACACACACACACGGGGTGATTCATATAAAGTGACCGATGTGAATATTAGCTAAAGTTGAAGAGCTATGAAAAAATTTTCATATCAAAAAATGTTTGACACAGAGGGGGACATCGTATGGTACAAACGATATTTTTATAGATGAAAGCATTAAGGAGATTTCAAGATCAACTTAATTTTTTTAAAAAGAACTCCCTATTTTTTATTACATATTCTTGTAGCTTATCTCGAGAGCTTTCCAAAACACTATAATAAAGTCATTTCTTAATTTTACATAAACCATAAAATATCTTGCAAAATATTCATTTTTCGATTATCTTAATACTTTTACATACAAAATAATGAGAAGAATCAATTGATGTAAAGAAAACACATAATTGTTTCGAAGAAAAAATATGTAATTTACAATTAACAATTACATATTTTTTTCTTAAAAATAATTATGTTTTCTTTACACCAATTGATTCTTCTCATTATTTTGTACGTAAAAGTATTAAGATAATCGAAAAATGAATATTTTACAAGATGTTTATATGTAATAAAAAATAGAGGCTTCCATTTAAAAAAATTAAGTTGATCTTGAAATCTCCTAATGCCTTCATCTATAAAAATATCGTTTGTACCATACAATGTCCCCCTCTGTGTCAAACATCTTTTGGTATAAAAATTTTTTCATAGCTCTTCAACTTTAGCTAATATTCACATCGGTCACTTTATACGAATCACCCTGTATATATACAGAGTGGCCCACGTAAAGTTATAAATTTATATCTCAGAAGGAATTTAGAGAAAAATGTTTCAGACACAAGTTGTATGATTTGAAAGAAGACAGTGCCATTAGTTTGAAGAATCACCTGAAGGTTATGTGAAGATCACCTCCAACTTTTTAAATGGGACACCCTATATGCTTTTGCATATTCTTGTAGCTCATTTCGAGAGCTTTCCAAAACACTATAATTAAGTTAGTTTTCATTAAATAATTTCTGAGTTATGAAGCTTGAAATCATTTCTGGTGGTGACCTTTAGGTGACTCTTCATGGTCAAACTAATGGCACTTATCTTCTTTGAAACCATACAACTGGTGTCTCAAACATTTTTCTCTAAATTGCTTCGTTTCCGAGATATAAATTTGTAACACTTTACGTGGGCCACCCTGTGTGTATATGTGTGTGTGTGTGTGTGTGTGTGTATACACACTATATATATACATATATAGAATATATTTCATACAATATATTAATATAATATGAAAATATTATACTGTTAATATATACAGAGACTTAACATACATGGAACTGTTGTGATCTGTTCATTATATTTTTTTAAATATCTTAATATATATTATCAATTCATATCTTCACAGCTCACAAGTTTGAATGATAAGTACTTGTATGCCCAAAGTATATCTTTGTCATAAATATTAGATTATAAATAATAGCTTTTCAACATGTTTAGTTTATTCTTTCGTTTGCTTGAAAATATTAGTCACAGTATTTTTGCTTGAAAATATTAGTCACAGTATTTTTTGCTAGTAAAAGAACGCAAATTATTTGAGATACTCAATTTTTTACATTATAAATTATTTGTTAATAAATGTAATTATTGAGGCTCAGACAGAAGAAGGAATTGTATAATTAAACATGTTTAAATAATTCAAAATAAACTATCACTATTGAAATTCAAACAAGGACAAAGCTAATAATTTCAAGTATTTGATTACTTGAAAATTTCAAATATTAATAGAGGTAATGATTAACTCCAATTTAATAAGTTTAATCTAATAAATCAATCTAGTAAATTGACAATTGCAATTGATCACTCCATATAGATTAAGATTCCTGACTCCTTATTAATATTATATTAAATTATGACACCAAAAACAAACATAATTTTTTTATTGTAAAAGATCTTTCATATTATTATTTGTACTTAATAATATAGATTAGTAGAATATATTCAAGACAATTTTTTATTTATTTGTGGATTAATAAATATTTAGTAAATTTTGATTAGTTATAACTCTGTGCTATAAAATATATTATTGAAGTTGTAATAATGAAAAAACTTATCAATTTGATATCTCAAGAAAACAATTTACATGATTTCTTCTAATAATTCAATGTAACTATAAATATAAATGAGAGAGCAACAGCTTTAAAAAGTTTAATGAAATTATTTATAACAAGGAACAATAAATTCAATCTATTATTATATAGGTTCTCTGCTTTTCAAAGTTACATATATAATAATGATTCTAATTTCATTAATAATTTCAGACAAATCCTATCTTAAAAAGTTTTTTATATAAAAGATATATTGTCTATGATAAGTTTTTGTATATTTATATACTTAAATGTATTAATATATTTTATAAATAGAAGCATTTTAAATCATTTAATTTAAAAAAATTATTATCTATAAGATAATTCAAAATTGACTAGCAGGATTTTTTATTATTTCTTTATGTGAAATATCGATCATTTTACTGTTCTAACTCATAAATAGAAATATAGAGAATCATACAATTAAAATTGTTTAGCAATTCTTTAAAATAAATGAACTATTTCTAGCTATTCATATTGGACATAAATTTTTGTATTATATGTTTATATTTGCAATTTGTTGTAACGCAAAAATCTACTTGCATTTTCATAATTATCAGAAGAGACTATCTTATGCTTTGAACACTTTCTTTTAAGTAATACATTGTGTGCTATCAATTGAAAAATTTTTACATCAATTTTGCAATCAACAGTGCTAAAATTATCCCATATATTATGTTAAACATTCCAATTTGTGAGGATGAATTACACAAATGAAAACTACAAAAACAATATTCAGGTGGACCAGTCGGTGCACCTCTATGTTCACCTACAAAGCAACCTTCTTCATAAGCAGTCGCTATAATCTCTTCTTTTTTATCCCATTGCTTATTGACATTATTGTAAACATGAGAAGTATATTTTTGTGGTGCACAATCCCTCTGAACAGTCGTTATTACAGATGCTAAAAGAAAATTTTCAAATAAAGTTACATAAGTTATTCAATAATTGCTCTATCAATATTGTCAGCTTACTTTTAGATTTATATTGAACAGTTCTCTTCATACAAAGTGTTGAAGTTGGACAAAATGTCTGAAATTTGGCACTTTTATCAAAGTGGGTACAAAGCAAATCTTTATCTTCGTCTGGTCTTGTCAGTGTCATGAGACATTTAAAACAAGAAATGCCTTCTGTCTGTGCTCGCGAAATATCTATAAATTTTATATTATATTAATCTTTAAGTTTTATTCATTTCTCTCTGATTATAATAAGATATAAAATATACACTCTTACATGATAAAATACTGATGTATATCATAATCAGATTTGGCTTGAAGTTATACATTTTATTCACAATATTATTTGTAGTCCTCATCAAGAAATTATTTAAATCGATAATGAGATATTTGTATGATTAATTTATTCTGGTAATAAAATCTAAAACATTTCAAGATTAAAAATTGTTTTTTAATATTTATTTTATCTATATAGTAGTTTACTTATAAACCATTTTTATTATCAAAGATATTTCATATAAATAATTAAATTTATATTTTATGTGACATTTTTTATTGTTAAGATAATTATAAAAATAACCACTTTTCATTTTTGATAAACACCTCTTTATTCATTAATAACTCTCCGATTTCACTATGAAGCTCTTATTTCTATGCCAAGTTTCTAAATCATAATTTTCTAATCTTATTATTTTCTTAATTAACCTCGTATTAACCTCGTCGATACTCTACATATATGTATGTATCTTCTGTTACCAAATAGCAATACACGATGGTACTTATATGATACACCTATCACAATATTACGTTTGCACACGTCATGTAATGCATTGTAACGATTTACTTTGCGTTACACGTACGATATGCTCGTTGCCGTTGAATCTTTTCTCCGCCTTTTTCGCGTAAAAACGCATAGAGAACAACTGGACGACTGATTACAGTCGGTCAACTGTATCGCTGGCCACGTCATCTGCCTAGATGATTCTTTAATACTCCTGCATCCTCCTCCATGTATATCAGAAAATAATCTTCATACACTTCCTCTACAAGCGTTTTTTTCATACCGAACCGATGCTACTCGTGTCATTCCTGTGATTCGATACCATACCACGACTGCCGCTTGCACGCATACACGCATACAAGCGCACGCATTGCGGTCATTGTGCATGTGATAGTCAGCGGTTCTCAAATCTCTCAATTTTTTTTGATCTGTTAAAAAAAAGAAATATCTTATATTTTTTATTTTTATATTATTTGTATTATATATATTATATATACAGTGTCCCAAAAGTCCCGGACCGGTCAAATATTTCATAAACTATGCACTTTAGAAAGAAATGTTTCAGACAAAAGTTGTATGGCTTGAAGGGGGCCATCAGATAGTGGCAATGATTTGACATGGGAGAGTCATTTGAAGGTGACATAAAGGTTACCTTCAATTTCTTAAATGGAACTCTCTATTTTTTATTACATATTCGTGTTCTCTATTTTTTATTACTTATTTCGAGAACTTTCCAAAACACTATAATAAAGTATTTCTTCATTGAGTACTTTTCGAGTTATGAGGCATGAAATCATTTCTTAATTTTGCATAAAATATCTAGTAAAATATTCATTTTTCGATTATCTTACCTTAATACTTTTATGTACAAAATAATGAGAGGAATCAATTGGTGTAAAGAAAACACATAGTTGTTTAAAAAAAAAATATGTAATTGTTAATTGCAAATTACATATTTTTTTTAAAACAACTATGTGTTTTCTTTACACCAATTGATTCCTCTCATTATTTTGTACATAAAAGTATTAAGGTAAGATAATTGAAAAATGAATATTTTACTAGATATTTTATGCAAAATTAAGAAATGATTTCATGCCTCACAACTCGAAAAGTACTCAATGAAGAAATACTTTATTATAGTGTTTTGGAAAGCTCTCGAGATAAACTACACGAATATGTAATAAAACATAGGTGGTGGTTCCATTTAAGAAATTGACGGTGATCTTCACGTGACTTTCAAATGATTCTCCCATGTCAAATCATTGCCACTATCTGATGGCCCCCTTCAAGCCATACAACTTTTGTCTGAAACATTTCTTTCTAAAGTGCATAGTTGATGAAATATTCGACCGGTCCAAGACTTTTGGGACACTGTGTGTGTGTGTGTGCGCGTGCGTGCGTGTGTGCGTGTGCGTGTGCGTGCGTGCGTGCGTGTGTGTGTGTGTGTGTGTGTGTGTGTGTGTGTGTGTGTGTGTGTGTGTGTGTGTGTGTGTGTGTGTGTGTGTGTGTGTGTGTGTGTGTGTGTGTGTGTGTGTGTGTGTGTAATACACTTTATAATATATATTTCTTTACAATAAATGCACATGATACTTAGTTTTATTAAATTAATATTTTCTTAATAGAAATATTTTATTATAGAATAGATATATAAGGATAAATTACAAAATCATATGGCGAGCAAAAATACCTATCTTTCTTTTTTCTTCTTAACACTGATATGAATCTGAATAATTAACTGAATAATTAAAATTTTTTTTACATTATTTCTTATACAGTTGGCTATATATAATTTTTTGTCGAGTAAGCTCTTCCTGAATCTAATAACTATTTTATATAGTTATATCCAAAATATTCAAAAAATTACCTTTATTATTATCATTTCTCATAATATATAAATTATTATTTTTTTTAAATTCTTTAAGAATTCTTGATATTTTAATCATCTTCAAATATGCATTTAATATCTTTTAGTAACATGTGATTGTTTATACAGCTTCCAAAGGCAGTCAATGCTGTAGATCACAAAGGAGAAACAGCTCTAGAAGTTGCTCTGAAAAGTCGTCAGCCATCTCTAGCTCGCACTTTGGTTGACCATGGAGCAGATTTGAGTGCAAAAGATGCTAGGGGTCTGTCTCTGCTTCATGCAGCAATTTTAAAAGGAGACTCTTATTCGTCTGAATTTATAATTGAACAGCTGGAAAACAATAGCAATGTGCAGAAGTTATGTGAACCTCTAAATATTATTGAAGGTGCAAAAAATACATCCGATCTTAAACAACTGGAAGGCTGTACTGCTTTACATTTAGTAGCAAAGCATAATACAGAAAGTATGTTAGCAGTTGGATCAAGATTACTTCAAGCAGGAATTGATCCAAATTTACAAGACCATAGAGGATGGTAAATATAATATTCTTTGGATTTAAAGTTTCAAGACTTACAATTACACTTTGAATAATGTAAACTAAGTTATTTATGAAATTTGAAATAGAAGTTATAGTCGCTATGTAATTTAATATTAAATATTATAATTTTGATATATTTGTTTATATTTATAGGAATGCACTTCATAGTTGTATCTCGGAAAGAAACGATATGCTATTTAATTTATTACTCGATGCAAAAGGTATAGATATAGATGAAACCACAAACGAAGATGATACACCATTGTGTTTCGCAATGAAGACGGATCCCTTCAACGAATACTTTGCGTCTAAATTGTTAACTAAAGGCGCTATACCAAATCCGATCTATAACACCACCGGAGATACATTACTTCATATCTTGACACGAGAATGCAGAGAAGAGGCGGCGCTATTTTTAGTGGATTATTGTAAAAATAACTTAATGAAAATTAACAACGAAGGTTTCACGATATTACATGAAGCATGCAAAGTTGGCTTAAAAGATCTATCTCGAGCTTTATTAAAAAACGGATTACCAACTGATGTCGTCACTTTTTCTACTGGTGATACACCAATTCATTTCGCCATTTCGAATCTATATACAGACATAGTCATTGAATTATTAGATACTTCTAATTTTAATTCGCAATTAACTATTAAAAATAATGCGAACGAAACGCCTCTAAGCTTGGCTATAAAAACACCATTCAAAAAAGGGAAAGATATTGTACTAGCTTTAATAAAAGCTGGAGCTGATGTGAATGAACGTAACAAGGAAGGCCTGACATTGTTGCATCAGGCAATATTAAAAGAAGATTCATCTACTGCTATATTTCTGCTAGAAAATGGTGCTGACATGAATGCAAAGTGAGTTTATTAAAATTATAAGAATCTATATATTATAATTGCGAGGTCACAATATTAATAAATTCGTATTTCAATATGTAGAACAGCTAATGGAGATACGCCGCTACAACTGTGTGTACATTGTAGACTGGGCGAAGTGGTGGAAGCTCTTTGTAGACGAGGTGTAGACACTTCAATAGGATGTCCATTATGGGACGCTTTAGACTCTTTTCAGGAAGATACTGCGTCAATTTTAGTTAAATACGGAGCAGATACAGATTGTTGGGCTCATGGTCCCGATGGTTGTCAGCAAACGCTGCTACACAGAGCGATCGATGATAACAAAGAGGATATCGCACAGTTTCTGATCAGAAGGTACTTAATGTGTGCATTTTTTATTCAAGAAAAATAAAAAATTAACAATCATAGATTTGTTAGAAATAAGAAAAATTATATTAAAAAATTGCTATTTCAATTTTTAATCATAATTCATATCACTATAATAGATATTATGCAGGGTTGGGTAATAACTGGTTGATTAGTTAAAAGTTAAAAAAAAATTAAAAAGTTAATAATTTTTAACTCAACTTACAAGGGGAGGTCGCGATTGACTCATCACCGATTTTGATCTCCTTTGGTATGGCGAATCTACGGTACGGTACGTCGAAAAAAAGTTGATCCGTGTTCGAGCTTTTCGTCCAATGCGCCTTGTAAAAAAAATTTTTTTTTTCTCGAAGTGTAGAAAAATTGCCAGGTTCGTTATCAGGCCTAAGGAAAGACACTTTTTCGATCGGTGCCGCTAGTCCAGCGGCAGAGTGCAAGACTAGTAATCCCGGGATCTGAGGTTTGAGACTTTGGGCTGTCATAATTTTTTATTTTTTTTATTTATATATGTGTATATAATACATATGTATTATTTATTATGTTAAATAAATATTCGACATACTAATAATGTTAGAATACACACTTTTCATGTTTCACATCTTTACAAAATCAGTTTTTTTACCTGCTGTGAACCGCTGGATGCTACCATCGTTAAAATATCGTTACAGAAAACGTTACACGGGGGAGGGGGGAAGGGTCGTGTGATCCTGTCAAAGATTCTAGAAGGTCGATTAGAAAATATCTTACTTATATATTTATATAATATATTTATTACATATTACATATTTATGCAGACAATAATGAGTAATAAATTAAATAGATAGATAAAGAAATAATTACATAATAGATACATAAAGAATTAAATAGATACATAAAAAAATAATTAGTTAAAAAATTTTAAAAAAATAAATACATTTTTTATATATAATACAAGCATCCAGCGGTTCACAGCAGGTAGAAAAACCGATTTTGTAAAGATGTGAAACATGAAAAGTGTTCTAACATGAAAAGTATTCTAACATTATTAGTATGCCGAATATTTATTTAACATAATAAATAATACATGTGTGTTATATACACATATATAAATAAAATAATAAAAAAAAATTGTCAGTCCAAAGTCTCGAACTTGGGATCCCGGGATTACTAGTCTTACGCTCTGCCGCTGGACTAGCGGCACCGAATCGAAAAATGTCTTTCTTTAGGCCTGATAACAAACCTAGCAATTTCTCTACACTTCGAGAAAAAAAAAATTTTTTTTACAAGGCGCATTGGACGAAAAGCTCGAACACGGATCAACTTTTTTTCGACGTAGATTCACCACACCAAAGGAGATCAAAATCGGTGATGAGTCAACCGCGACCTCCCCTTGTTAGTTATTTTAAAAAGAGTTAACTTTTAACTTTAACGAGTTATTTTTAAAACACATAAACTTAAACTTATTAACTTTCCCTCCAAATTTATTTGATGAGTCATATTATTATTAATTAGAGTAGTCTAATTTTAAAATTACAATCTAATTTAATATAAAGTGAAATAATGCTTTTCAAAATTTTAACTTTTATCTTAACTAACGTTAATTTAATCTTAACGTAACTTTTATTGAGTTAATTTTTTATTTGTATAACTTTTAACATAACTAAATTAATTTTTTAACCCATTAACTTTAACTTAATTTAGTTTAAAAAAATATATAAACTTACCCAACCCTGATATTATGATTTAAGGTATTGCCAATACTGCATTATTTTGTTTCTTTTTTAAATCACAATTTATATCGCAGCGGATGCGATTTGAATGCTCCGAGACGACACGGTCCAAATGGTGCCGGTGGAGATGAGGCAAAAGACGAATGTACACCATTACATTTGTGTTGTCAATGGGGACTGGAGCAAGTTGTTCAAACGCTGATCGAACACGGAGCCGACGTAAACGCTCAAGACGCAGAGGGAAAGACTCCTGTACATGTAGCGATACAGAATCAGCATTCGCAGATAATATCTCTTTTGCTGTGTCATCCGAATATAGATCTGAACAAGAGAGATAAGAGAGGGCTTACGCCATTCGCGACCGCCCTAACAGTCCGTAATAACAAAGCCGCGCAAGCGATATTAGAGAGATTACCTAAAGCGGCCGAACAATACGACAATAAGGGCAGAAACTTCTTGCATACTGCCATACAGAAGGATGACATGGAGAGCATTCTGTTTTTATTATCAATACAAGTACTTAAGTTTAATTTACATAAATTGTAATACAATGTAAAGAATTGTTATTACAGTAATACTATTTCTTTTATCATAGGTAGATGTAAATTCGAGAATACATGATGTTACACAAACACCTCCATTGCATCTAGCCGCTATGTCAGGAAACGAGATGTTAGTGCGAAGTTTAATACTAGCAGGTGCTCGTGTTAATGATACTGATGCAAACAGAAACACCGCGCTACATATAGCGGCTAAAGCAGGACATGCCACTGTTGTCTCCGCACTACTACAAGTAAGACAAATTATACAGGCCTGCAAAAAAGGGGGTCAAAATTTCTTTTTAAGATACAATAGTGATTTTTGACGTAATTTTGTGCGCTGAATCCGAATCTGGCCACTGAATTTGCGTAGCACGTCAGGTTTTTGAATGATTTGTAGTTGAATAGCCCAAAAATCGCTATTTTGGCCAATTTCATGAATTTATTGTGAGTAAACCAAATTTTTTGAAATATTTCTGTCAATGGCATCGTATAGTACTCACTTTCATCTTTCGAATCCACTTTCGATTACCCCCTGCCGCACGATTTTTTTTCGCTCAGATATACAAGTTATAAGACTGGTCATGCATAGGGATTTAATAAGCCATTCTAAATCAACTGTGCCACCTCTCTATCTCACTACGAATCAAAATTAATTATTTTTTTATCAAAATAAAATACATTTTTAAATACCTTCTGTCACCTTTTGAAATTAAAAATAGCGCATCCAATATGGCGAATAGAAAAAAAATACAATAAAAGGGCATAAAAAGGCATAAAATTTAGAAAAATTTATCAAAATGTGTAACAACTGTATTAGATATTTCTTTACAATACTTTTTTGGACAACCGAACCTGACATATGTCAGTCTTTTCAACTTTCAACATCATGGATCTATCATATTGATGTCTATATAAATTTTTTTTAACGTAAATTTTCTTACAACGTCATACTTATATATCTCAGCGAAAAAAAATCATGCAGCGGTAATCGAAGTGGATTTGAAAGGCGAAAGTGAGTATTATACGATGCCATTGGTAGAAATATTTCAAAAAATTTAGTTTCCCCACAATAAATTCATGAAAATGGCCAAAATAGCGATTTTTGAGCCATTCAATTACAAATTACTCAAAAACGTGACATGCTACGCAAATTCGGCGGCCAGATTCAGATTCAGCGCACAAAATTACGTCGGAAATCGCTATTGCATCTTAAAAAGAAAAACCTTGCAGGCCTGTGTTATTCAATGCAAAGAATCTGAAACTAAAAGTGTATCTAATTTAATGCATTTAAGATATCCTATTAAATTATCGATCATTTATTGTATAGAACAATATTAACTTTGACGCGGTAAATGCAGACGGCGATAATGCGTTGCATGTAGCTGTAAGAGAGGGTCATGTATCAGTAGTACGGACGTTATTGACCGAATGTACGCTGGACGCGGAAGCTGTGAATCTCAAGGGCCGTAATCCTCTACATGAGCTAGCCAGATGCGCGAGAGATAATGCTGCAACGATATGTGATCTATTTTTAGAATGCATGTCGCAATATCCAGTCAATAACGCAGGTATAAGAAAACAATAAATTTTTTGTTTTTTAAAAAGAGACTAAAATTCTGGAAAAAAAAACATTGCAATTTCTTTTCATGAATGCATATATTACATAAGACGTATATGTCTTACAAAGTTTTTATTTCAGACTTAGATGGAAACACACCATTGTTGATTGCATATATGAAGGGTAATGGCAATCTTTGTAGAACATTAGTAAAAGCTGGTGCATGTTTAGGTTCAATGAATAAAGATGGAATCACAATTTTTAATTATCAAGTAGCGACGAAACAATTATTATATAGATTGTTAGACTCTTTAACGCAAGAAGCACCATGGTCTGATAAAGATTGCTGTTTAGAATGTGGAACGAAATTTTCCCTCACAATGCGCAAGCATCATTGGTATGAATAAAATTTCCATTCCAATGACAGTAATTGAATATATCAATCTTAAATTGACACTTTTCATTGTATTTTTTTCTTTTTTCAGCCGCCACTGTGGGCGAATTTTATGTAGTAAGTGTTCAGGTCAAGACGTGCCGATTTTGAAATTTGGTTTAAACAAGCCAGTACGTGTATGCAACATATGTTTTGATGTATTGCTGGGTACTGGGTCTCTTCAATCTTCATAGTTAAGAATTTATATATAAAAATTAATAGATCATTCCGATGATTTTTATATGAAAGAGAAAAGCAGATGTATATGAACTGAATCGAAAGTATGTGCATAATTGTATGTGCATCATTGATATTTTATGTATTCATTGTATACACATGTTCACATTAAGATTTGTTAAATTATCTCATAGAATTGAAATACAGATAATGAAGAGACTGCACATTGATGTAATTTTTATCTCTAATAAGTTAATTTTTTATTGCTAGTATTTGAATATTTATACAATGTCTGAGAAATTAAGCTTTAACATTGTGAATAACCATTGGCTTTTTATAGGAATACCATATAATTATTTAAGCTTACTAAATAAAGTCTTTGCGGCGCAATGATCTACACATTGTACATAATCAATAAGTTCCTCTAGACAAGTTTCTTCTGTATGGGATCTTGAATTAACACGATCATTGCATGTAGTCAATTTCTTTTGTAAATTGCTGCATTTTTCTTCTTGAGAACATTGCTCCTATGGTAAGAAAAATTGTTAAAATTAAAATAATCCTATACAAAGTAATGCTTAAATTAATTCCTAATTTATTAATAATAATAAAATTATTAGTAATAACTATAATTATTTATAGTAATTCGAATTTATTGATTAATATGACTTATATTTTATATTCTTTTACATATAAAAATATAGTATAAAAATATAAATATATATAGAGAAAAATATATATATATTTATATGGATGTTCTTTGGACATTTTTCGGACAAATGTACTGTTAAGATATTCCGATTAACTTATCAAATAATACTCAGTATATGTGTGTGTGTCTATTGATATATGTATCCTAACAGCACACATGTCCAAAAGATTTCTACTTATCAAATAATACTCATGGTATTTCGTGAATACAGATAGAATAATTTATTATTTATTTAATACAGAAAAGAAAAAAAATGAATTGTATAATTAGATTTTATTTACTAGACAATCTTGTCAAATCAAACTTTAGTTGAAGTAATCCTATTAGTGAAGCTTACAATTAAATTTAATGATTTCCTTACTTCGAAAAACAATGTGTGTATATATTTGCATCCCCTTTCAAAAACAATATTATATAATGATTATATCACTTACACGAAGTACTTTTTGCGGATCTACCAATTCTTCTTCTCCGTCATCGGCCTTCACTATCGGCAGGTAACGTTTGAAAAAATCTATGATCGGCATTTCTTTAATTTCGAAGAATTTCAGTATTTGAGACCAATTAACTTATTCTTCCGCAAAAGTTCCAAGATAACTAAGCTCCAATAATAAGCATAAAATCTAAAATTTTATAGAGAATAATCACATTGCAATTTATCCGAATGAGTCGATTAGACGCCTCCTATGTTACGTTGACCAATCAAAATAAAGACACTTTCATAGACATAGTAAGTATAGACCATTGAATTATATAACATACTGGAAGCTGCGCTACCATAGAAAGTGGCCGATTCAGCCTGTTAGACAAGGAGGCGCTAAAAGGTAATGCGTTCTTTGTTTCTCTAATGTATTACAGTCGATTCGTCTAAAGTTCTCACACCATAGTAGATGAAACAAAACTGTATGTATGTACTATTTTATCACAATTTTAATTTGAAAAAATGATATTTGAACAAATACGTATTACATTGCACATGCTACATTTCTTTAGACTAATGTTTTCAGCTCAGGTAATATGTAAGACAAGGAAAGCATGACAACTTAGCATCTGTCTCTCTCGGCTCGCTCGGGAATAATAAACAAAACGTATCTTTGTGCGACTTCCAGTATGTTATATAGTTTAATGGTATAGACCGAGCATTCATTGTATAAGCATTAAGCATACGAAAAGAAAGACAAAAGATGTAAGATGAGTTTCTTTCTCTTTTCAAAGCCGGAGAAGTGGGGAGCACTTCTCACATCTTCTCACGCCGGTTCGTCATGGAGGGGCGAGGAGATGAGAAGAAGTGCTCCCCACTTCTTTGGCATTAAAAAGAGAAAGAAACTCATCTTACATCTTTTGTCTTTCTTTTCGTATGCTTAACGCTTATACAATGACCGGTATTCATAGTCCGATCTTATATTTAAGATCGTCTTAAGTCTGGTCCGAGATTGACTTAAGACCTCATTCAACCAATCAAATAGCTGCGTACATTTCAAGCTCGAACTTAAGACGATCTCAAATATAAGATCGGACTATGAATACCGGCCAATGGATGCTCGGTCTATACTTACTATGTCTATGGACAGTTTGCTCCTTTTGATCTGGGTATCGAACAATATAAAGGCCCGTCTACATAGAACGCAACACGCAAAACGCAGCACGCGCTCGCAAAGTGACCTCCATGAACTTACCAACCCTATTTTGAGTTTTTATTTTTTTTTTAATTGTTGTAATTCGTTTGTAGATGATTGTTGCGGCGTCTACAATGAGATTTTAAGGAGACTTAAGGCGTAAGATTTAAAAAATTGACCAATCACAATCGAATATTCTCTTAATGAGTACGTTTACACAGCAACGTTAATCTGGTTTAGTAACAATCGTAATTATAACTCCCTAAAAGTGATGTTCGTTTACAAGCAAGGAGCAATACAAGCTATTACATACTTACTTTAACTTATTGGCAGTTTTTGTATACTAGTAGTCAGCCTAAGGCTGATGGCAGAGAACTAGACGTGAGCGTTTACGTCTGTCGTAGTCGTAGACGTAAAGTAAGACAGAAAAATATATGTCGTACAAGGCCATTGTCACAATGACCTTGTACGACATACGTTTTTCTCTGCCTTACTTTACGTCCACGACTACGACAGACATCTAGTTCTCTGCCATCAGCGTAATTAAGGCCCATTCTACAATGAGTCGTAAGTCGTAAGTCGTAGGCAAATTGACCAATCATGGTTGATTGTTTTTGAAATAATCATTCAAATTTAGTTAAAATAACGTGTTTTTTAATGTGACTTGTGCAATTTACAAGATTATCATCCATGCCGGTCTCCTGATTTTTATTACATCGGTATACTAAAATTGTTATATTTTAATTCGTTGAGCGTATTATATATTTGAACCGTTAATTAATTTAGTAATCTTTTATAATCTTTCCAGTGTATACTTGATAAGGACCACAACCATATGGTCGAAACGTCGTACTAATAAATCAATTTCTAGCTAGTTTGGTCGATTATTAGTGCGTTCGAAAATATGTTTGGTCGGTGTTGGGAAAAAAGATAAAGTTGGCAGTATTGAAAACTCCCAGTGCTGCGTTTCATTTCTCCCACTGGGATCATTAAGATTGTATTGTACCGCATGTACACTCCGCGACAACGATTCGTTCCGTGGTCCCTCTCGCGGGGCAAGAGGAGCGTAGCCTCTAACCAATCAGCCACTGCCACGCTGCCAGCTGATTGGTCACTTCTACACTCCCCTTGCCCCGCGAGAGAGGGGACGCGGAACGAATCGTTGTCGCGCAGTGTACAATATATGAAAATGTTGCAATTACATTAATTATTATTATGGAACAATATATTTTATTCGAAAACATTATTTTTGAATTTTCGAGTAGTTCTTCTTCAGATAGTGATGATAATAATGAAGAATTACAAAATATTTTATTCGAAAATAAAGGTAATAACAATAGAGTGAAAGGAAAATAGTATCAAAAATAACAGATTATTTGGAAAATGTTGTTACCAGATATACAAATATTGAATTTAAATCACATTTTAAGTCAATCGTATCACTTTATTATAATTAAAGCATTATTAATATAAAACACACGTTTGTATTAATAATAATATATGTGATGTTATTTATTACAGGATGGAGCGTAATACTTTTTATTTTTTATTACATTTAATTGGACTCAAATTAGAAAACTTTCTATTCATAGGAAGAGAACAAATTAATCCAACAAAACAACTATTAATAGCTATTTATGTTTTGGCAACACCAGATAATAAAAAGTATTACACATCCTGTAACAAATAACATCACATATATTATTATTAATATGAACGTGTGTTTTATATTAATAATGCTATAATTATAATAAAGTGACATGATTTACTTAAAATGTGATTTAAATTCAATATTTGTATATCTGGTAACAACATTTTCCAAATAATCTGTTATTTTTGGTATTATTTTCCTTTCACCTCTATTGTTATTACCTCTATTTTCGAATAAAATATTTTGTAATTCTTCATTATTATCATCTCACTATTTGAAGAAGAACTACTCGAAGATTCAAAAATGATGTTTTCGAGTAAAATATATTGTTCCATAATAATAATTAGTGTAATTGCAACACTTTCATATATTGTACATACGGTACAATACAATCCTAATGATCCCAGTGGGAGAAACGAAACGCAGCACTGGGAGTTTTTAATACTGCCAACTTTATCTTTTTTCCCAACATCGACCAAACATATTTTCGAACGCACTATATATTTCTTTGATCCCTTTAAATCTAGTAATTTTTAAAATGGTGGGACGTCACACCTCCCCCCTTATTTAAGAACAAATTCCGATGTGCTCGTAGGAATTTGTTCTAGGGTTCTTAATCGATCCCTTAGGGCCTATCCAGACAAACTTGCATAGGTGCATATGCATAACATAAGACCATATGGACCAATGAGCATCGAGTATTAAATCGCTATATTGACTTACATAACATAATACTCGATGCTCATTGATCCATATGGTCTTATGTTATGCATATGCACCTATGCAAGTTTGTCTGGATAGGCCCTTAAGGCCTGATATGAATTAATTTCAGAGGTTGAGGACATTGGCTCGACAATAACATTGGTGGATTTGATTATTCCTGGAGTCTCCTTTGTTGTTAATTTTTCAGGTGCAGTTCGGAGATGGTGTTTCGCTGGTTTGGATGCTATCTTTTTTGTTGACGGGTCCACGTGCAAGGTGTAGTAGTAGATGTAGTAGTAGATGTGTGACAGAACTCCAGATGGCTCCGAGTAAATGCATGCTGCATCCATATGCTGTATGTAAGGCGTATCCGTGGATAGCTGTATCGACCACAAGTTTAATAATGCGGACGATTAGCAGGATGCCGAATATTCCAGCGGTTGCGGAATCAAAGGTGACAAACCCTTTCCATACTCGGGAAGCAGTATTATCAACTATTTTATTGAGCGAGGCTTCATCCAATAAGCTGTACATCGAGATAGCATCTCCGTTGATAGAATGGCCGGTAAGTCCTTTGGCAGTACTGAGGAGGGCAGGTTTCTCTGCGGGAAACATGATGTGATCTCTCAACTTTTCTATATCCTTTTCAGAATATATTCCACTGATAGCGAGTGGACCTAACATTAAGTATTTCCAGGATAAAGTTGTCATGGGTTGCAGTTGCTGCGGAGCTGCTTGTCTGACTTGTGCATCAGGTGTGAACTGCACCCAGGTGTCCTCGATACGATACATAGTAGGTAGTTCATAACTACATTCACATTGATTCCTAAATTTAGTGACTATTCGAGATTTGGGAGTCAGGAAGAATGAGGAGTTACGTACAGTTATAGGTAACTCAGCATAACATTCTTTAGTTTTTCTCACTATAACGTCCACAGGTATGCATTTTATAATTTGTATAGCTTGTCCAATTGTTACTGCCATGTAGCCTGGTCCCTTCATTAATTGATATGCGAATTCATCTGGTTGAAGAGTGGCAAATGACAAGGCATTAGTTATAACCTGTCTTTCTAATTCACATTTCTGTTGCATAACGTTGTGAAGGTCATCTGATGGCGAACATGTTTTTCTACGTATACAAATTTTGAATTCATGTAAGCGAAGATGTCTAGATTGTCCACCGGGATGATGCCTCGACGGAAGAACGTACTTTCCTCCTTGGTTTCGAGAATGAATAATTTCGGATGTTTTGTGCTCAGTAAGATGTATCCGCATAATGGTTGTTCTCTGTTTCTCTGGTTTTGGTGAGGGCAAAGGTAATATCTTGCGTCGTTAAACTGTAGACGACTGAGGATGAAGGGTCGGTCATATCATCCTTAATTACCGTTGCTGGGCTTTCGTAAAGGACGTCATATTGATGGAAATTACAAGATGATGTAGGCACAGATTTCCAATTAGTATATTCATCATCCGAGTCAATACAGACGCTTTCGCTAAACGTACATACAGTTCTGGATTTTAATATTATTTTTCCGGAATTTAATTGCACAGGGACGTGTAAAGATTTCATGGATATTTTGACTGAAGCTTGGACCACGACGTCGTCCCAGGTTCCGTAGGGGTCAGAATACTGAGTGCCCTTATAGCTTCCATCATGGCCTATCCGTCTTCCCAGGGTGAGACTGCGATGAGTGTTCTGGTTAGCCTTCAATCCATACACGAGGTTTCCGACTCCTAGGGAGAGCGTTCCATCTTGGAACATCCTTAAACATTGTATGTATCCAGTTTCGTGGATATAGTCCGCTCTTCCGTTTTGGACTACGGAGACATGTGAGTGCATTCCGCAGTGATAAATTGTTCGAGATATTTCAACCTTACACTGAATAACTTCCGCATGATTATAGTCAGAAAGTTGCAAGAGTTGAACATATGTATCGCTTGTGTTAGGTTTCCGGTAATCAAGGTTACATTCGCCAACATCTAACAAGGATACCGAGGTAATGTTTAGATGTTGTCCACCGCAATCGAATCCGATGAGAGCGTCGGTGGCCCTTATAATGATTACTATCGCAAGGTAAGCTAACATTTCTGTAATTATACAATATATATAAATATTTTGTTACAGCTATAACGTATATATTTTGCTTAATTAATATTTCTCTTTCTCTTTTTTTTATATTTTATATTTTTTCTTACCATTATATCACTTTTACTAGTTACTGTGAATCTCGTTAATTATTAGTATTCTTATTGAATTAGTTAATGAGGCATTAAGCAGTTAATGTAGAAATAAGATAATTTTATTCTAATAATGAAAATAATCAGTGTTTTGTGGTTATATATATATATATATATATATATATATATATATATATATATATGTATATATATATATTTTTTTTTTTTTTAATTATTATTAATATATATATATATCCATATGTATGTATAAGAGATTATTTTAATGACAATCGGTTACATGGTGTTAATAATAAAAATATACTTATATACTTATTAATAATTATCATATATTATCGAATTCTAAGAGATTCTCCCGAATTTCGTCCATATTCTCAGGGAGGGGGGGGGTCAAATTCGGGTGCTACTATTAATTCTAATACGCGATCTGCGTTTACATCATAATGAAATAAACTTATATTGTTCATGTCATATTGTTCGCTTAATAGGCGATGCGCCGTGGTGTACGCATGGAAGCAGCGCTCACAGGAAAGGATCGATTGAATTTTTGTTTCTACGGGTTTTTTGCATTTCTTGCACTGAATCTCTCGGACACGTCCTTTAACAAATGCGTGACTATGAAAAGGTACAAAGAGAGCCTTAAGCGAAGGTGCTAATCTGCTGCCGCTTGGGGGACAATCACCGCAATATAGAGCTTCATAGCCTGGCAGTTGTTCTCCGATTCTTTGTACGCACTTTACCGCGTACAATCCGGAAAAATCCCGCAATAATTAATGGATTTTAGGTTTGTAAGCTACTGGGATGCACATTCTAAAGAAAAAGGAGAGGTAATTCCTTTTATTATTTAATTACTATTAACTTTATCTTATTTATCAATATATTTTCCTTACTTTATTTTGATAGTATAGCGTTTTCTTGTGTCTTTTCTCTGAGCTCCCCAGTAACGTACTGACTTGTGTCTATCCCCAAATATTAATTCTTTTGTCTCTATCGTCGTTTACATTTCGGCCTGACACCCGTAATTCGACACGCGCCCATTCATTCTCAAGTGCTTTTTTGTTTTTGTTTATCATTCTCACATTCTCTTCTATTTCTCTTCTCAATCTTACAAAATTCACGTTATTCAAGATTCATAATTGAGGAAATTCAAATTCTATAATTTAACAAGCGGATTTAGTTTCCTCATTATAAACAAGGAGATATATGATTTGGCGTTATATAATAAGAGTGCGATATCATTACAATTTTAGGATTGACAATAAATTGCGCGTAGGTTTTTTCTCCTTTTTTATATATATTTCTCTGATCTAAACGGTAATGAGGGAGAATTGGATTTTGGGTAAGGATGTTGGAAGGGAAAAAAAAATCTAGTATAAGTGCCGTGAAATCTGTTATAATGAAATAGATAATTGTGGATTTAATGTATTAGAGAAATGAAGGTGATGGAAAAAGAAGGGTAACATTTTGGTTGGCGAAGCCAATACATCTGAAACCAAAGATAATGTATTAGCACAGTATATACAGTAGCGCAACTCTCCCGATTTTGTGTAGCATAAAATGAAATGCGCATGCGTAAAGTCAGCGAGTATACCAGTACTGCCATCTGCACTTCCCTCTCACTCTCTCCTTTGGTTTTCGTTCTCTTTCTAACACATTATAATATGTAATATAAATTAAATTCAATAAAACTTGAATATATGTACATAAAGAAATCGTGAAAAATATAATATAAAATATATAATGCAAACATATATAAAAAATAATATATATGACATGATGTGAATATTAATTAACCATTTTATATGTCACATATAACTGATAGCAGAAAAGAATGAAAAGATATATACTCATAATACTCATATATAATTTATAATATATTTACATATTAATACTTATATATATAATTTTTAATATATTTATATATTAATTGTACATACATATATTCTATATACATATATATATATTTTTTCAAAAACTTAAAATTAAAAAAAAACATTTAGATTAACACTACAATCACTTAAAGTTTATTATATAAAATATATATATTTATGATCAAAATGAAGAAAGAAACAAGAAATATATATTTGTTAATAATATATATTATTAACAAATATACACATATATTTCTAAATGTTTTTTTTCATTTTAAGTTTTTGAATATACATATATATAGAATATATATATGTACAATTAATATATAAATATATTAAAAATTATATATGTAAGTATTAATATGTAAATATATTATAAATTATATGAGTATTATGAGTATATATCTTTTCATTCTTTTCTATCAGTTATATATGATATATAAAATGGTTAATTAATATTCACATCATGTCATATATACTATTTTTTATATATATTTGCATTATATATTTTGTATTATATTTTTCACAATTTTTTTATATATATATGTTCAAGTTTTATTGAATTTAATTTATATTATATATTATAATGTGTTAGAAAGAGAACGAAAACCAAAGGAGAGAGTGAGAGGAAAGTACAGATGGCAGTACTGATATACTCGCTGACTTCACGCATGCGCATTTCATTTTATGCTACACAAACTTCAAAGGTGCCGACAGGGAGTTGCGCTACTGTATATACTGTGGTATTAGTTTGTCATTCAGGTTCGATGTGGGAAATTTTTAATTTATTAATATGCACGATTCGCGGTTTATTCTTGACCATAACTTTTATATTGCCGTGAGATAAAACTTCTATAACCTTATGGGGGCCGGTATATTGGTTGGAGAATTTCCCTTTCGTGGGTTCTTTTAACAAAAATACGTATGAGCCTTCACGAAAATTTTGAGGGTTTAAATTTTTATCGTAATAACGTTTGCTTTTCTCTTTAGATTTTATAAGATTTTGACGTGCTTCTTCTTGCAGGTCGCAAACTTGGTTAAATAAATTTGTCAAATAAACTTGGTAAGTGGGTTCAAGATTTGCATCGATTGGTACATGAGCAGAAGGTAGTCGTGCTATATGACCGAAGACTAATTCGAAAGGTGAGAATTTAGTTCCTTCGTAGACACTGGTATTATATGAAAACATTGCCATATTAATATAATTATCCCATTCTTTTTCTTTTAAAATTTGAGTTTTTAGATATTCTATTAATACGTGATGTGATCTTTCGATCGACTCGTTAGATTGTGGGTGATAAGCAGTGGTTTTAAAATGTTGAATTTTGAATTTTTATTAAATTACGTATCAAGGCGGATAAAAAGTTAGTTCCTTGATCTGTAAGAATGGCTTTAGGAGCTCCATATACACAAATAAAGTTCTTCGCGAAAGCATCAGCTATGGATAGGGAGATTGCGTCTCTTAACGGAACGGCTATTGAATATTTTGTTAATAAATCTTGCATGATTAGAATATATTGATATCCGGAAGTTGTGATAGGAAGGGGGCCTATGATATCTAAAAATACTTTATCAAATGCTGAGCCGGGAGTGTCTGTAATTATCATGGGTTGTTTCGTTTTTATTCGCGTTAATTTCTTTAATTGACATTGACGACATTTTTGATTGAAATTTTGTATATCCCTTTTCATGGTGCTCCAATAATAATGAGGTCTTAATCGATTATACGTTTTAGTAATGCCTTTATATCCACCGTGTGCTGACGCATGATTTTCTATTATTAATGCTTCTCGTTGTTCAATAGGAGGGATTTGTACCAAATTTTTACAAATAGTAATGCAAAGCGGTAATTCTCTTAAATATGCCTGAATTCGACTTATTATATGGTGCCACGATAAGTTGTCAAAGTGATCGGTTTTCCTAATACTGAATGAGGTTAATTGTAATTCTGTCACTACGTCTAAAAGTGATTGCATGCAGTTTTCTAATGATTGAGCTTCTACTCGCGTTCGATTATCGAGCTTAATGGGAATTGATATTAAGGTCCTTTGACTGAAGGTTTTTACATTAGCTTTCTCATAAATAAGATCTTGAAATTCTGGTAGTAGATTTGCGGTTTGATATTCTTTGGCACCGTTATCGAAAGGGGTTCCATTTGAATAAATAAATATTACATGATTGTCTGCTTGTTTAGTAAGCTGTCTCAGGTTTCGGTAATAACGAGTTGATCGAGATTTTGATATTCTTCGTTAACGTCAAAAATTTCTTCGTATATGTGATTTTCGCTATAGTCTGAATTGTCGATCATCAGCTAGTCATTATCCTCATCATTATCACTAGAGTATTCTTGTATTACTATATTACATTGTTCTAACGTAGGTTCGTCATTTTCAGATTGTGAATTGTACGGAGAAAATTTGGATAGTGGGGATAACGCATCTTCAATCACGTCGGGTCTTTGACGTTCGGAAGAAATCGAGTTGTTAGAGGAATCATCGGAGTTATTAGCAGCGAAAAAAGATACAACACAATTGGCAGGAGGATTTCTAGATAAGGCATCGGTATTATTATTTAAACTTCCCTTTTTATACTGTGTCTCATATTCATATTCAACTAGTTTTGTTCTCCATTTCCACAATCTAGAGGAAGGATCTTTAATTGAGTGAAGTCAAACTAATGGTTTGTGATCGGTTATGATGATGAACGTTCTTCCGTATAAATAAGGCCGGAAATGGTTAACGCGGTAAACTATTGCCAAGCGCTCTTTTTCAATTGTGGAATAACGTTGTTCAGCACCGTTTAAAATACGAGAAGTATAGGCTATTGGTAAGTCTTTTCCAATTAGTCCTTGACTTAGTACTCCTCCAATTGCATATCCTGATGCATCGGTAGTTAAGATAAATTGTTTAGTAAAGTCAGGATATTGGAGTACGGGTTCGGAGCATAAGGAGAGTTTTAACGTATTAAACGCTTCTGCTTGGTGTAACTGCCAGTTAAAAATTATTTTTCTTTAGTAAGTCAGTTAGTGGTTTGGCGATTTTAGAAAAGTTTGGAATAAATCGTCTGTAGTATCCGGCCAAACCCAGGAATTGCTTAATATTTTTCGCGATTCTTGGCACGGGAAATTCGGCTATAGATTTTATTTTATTCGGATCAGGTTTAACTCCGTCGAATCCGATTATGTGTCCGAGATAAGCTACTTCATGTCGTAAGAATTCACATTTATCCGGTTGTAATTTTAAACTCGTATCTCGTAATCTTTGCATTAATTTATTAAATTTAATTTCATGTTCTTTTAATGATCTTGCATATATGACAATATCGTCCGTGTATACAAATAATTCATTACCCTGTAATCCGGAGAGAACATTATCCATTAACCTTTGAAAAGTTGCAGGGGCGTTTTTTAAACCGAAGGGCATTCTTTTAAATTGCTAATGCCCATAAGGAGTTGAAAAAGCAGTTTTGGGAGCATCCTTGGAAGACATGGGAATTTGATGGAATCCAGAAGCTAAATCGAGAACAGAAAAATATTTGGCAGACCCTGATTGATCAAGGATATCGGTTAGGGAGAGGATAAGCGTCTCCTATTGTTTTTTCGTTAAGGCGACGGTAATCTATGACTATTCGCCATCTCTTATTACCGTAAGAATCCGGTTTTTTGGGTACTATCCATACGGGGGAATTATAAGGAGAGGTAGAATATTCGATTAAATCATGAGACAAAAGTTCGTTAACTTGTTTGTTAATTTCGTCCTTATGTATCGGAGGAAATCGGCATTGTTTCGTATGGATAGGGATTTCGTCCGTAGTAGGTATGAAATGTTGAGTAGCGTTAGTAGCTTCGAGTTTGTCATGAGGGAGATGAAATCTATCAGACTGATTAAGAATTAACGATTTGACATTATCAGATTCCTCGGAATTTAAATGTTCTAACCGCAAAAGTTGCATAAGCGGACGCGCGGTCGCAGTAAACTTCCTCAGAAGTATTGTTATTTTGAGTCTCGATAAAATACAGAGGGTTTTCGAAAATGTTTATAGTATGATTACTAATCACTGGGAGTTCTAAGGTCGCGGTGATATCTTTAAAATCGGTTTTCTTACAAGAGGTCATAATTGGATTATGAGAATTACCAGTCCCCTTACTAGTCTCATTCCTTCGGGATTCGATGACATTACATGGGAATGTGAATTCGTTAAGAAAATAGAAGTCTTGTAAGTCAACCACGGGAACCTCTATATCGTATTCTGATTCAGAAGTATTAAAAATAGGTAGATAAGCTTTTCCATTAGTGTTCTTAACGGGGATTGCCCGATTAGACACAGTACGATTAGACACAGTACGATTAGACACAGCCAATCATATCGACCGATGCCTAGGGTAACCAGCACGATCAAGCACGATTAGCCAATCAAAGCCAGTTGAGTCTAATTGTACTGTGTCTAATCGGAGGTGTCTCTTCTTAACAATAGCATCTCCGAAATAAACTTTTTCGAACGGTATAAAGCGCGGTATATATCCGTATTGTTTTTCGGAATTAACAACATGGACAAAAAATGGTAACAGACCGTTTCTTGATATGAATAAGAGTTGTTTCTACAAATGAAATGCTCGAGTCATCATAATGCAGCAATTTGTTTTTATAATCTACTTTAGCCATTCGTTTCTTTAAAAATACATTCCCCAAGATACCATCCTGAGGAAAACTGACCGTATCTGAAATCACGTAAAAATTAGTGGGTCGGTTAAGTAAAAGAATAGTAACAAAGCTCAGAATAGGGACAGGTTTAGAAGATATACCTTGAAGAGATAATGTTTTTTCGTTATTTATAATAATGTTTGCTTAATGAGGTGTTGTTTTATTAGGTTAACACTGGAGCCAGAGTCGATCATGAAAGAGCATTTATTCTTTAAGTCAGTAGAAGAAAGAATGACGGAAGGTAGACTATTATATTTTGCGTTTTTCATTTATTGATTCGGTACAGGAGATAGGACAGTTGTAGAGGTTTGAGGTAGCACAATGATTATGGGGGCTTGTTGAGGACGTCCGATTTGAGCTTTGTTCCGGCGGACGTCGATTGTTATCGGAACGCTCTGTGCGTTTCCCAGGTTATTTTGATTATTATTAGTAGAGAATCGCGAAGGATTATTTTCAACCGATCGCCTATAAGCGAGTTTCCGACATTCGATTAGGTGTCCAGGAGCTTTGCAATATCGGCAAATTTTTCTAGCAGGAAAATTAGGACCGAGTATTCCGGGAACGAGGGGTTTTATAAAGGGAGTTGCGCTAGTCCGGGGAGGTAATTGTTGAGGATTATTACTGGGTGTTTGGTTAATAGATTGAGAGGGCTTTGTGAAATCTGCACGAGGCGAGGTATTAGGTTTATAAGATGATGCAGTTCGTTTGCGCGCATATTTTCTGCTTCCAAAGTTTTAGAAAGTTGTATAGCGGATATAATAGCGTCGTCTAACGAGGAATATCTTTCTAATTTAACACGGATTAGAAGATCGGAAGGAAGACCGTTTACAAAATTATCTTTAACACTCATTTCAATTTGATGTTTTACAATTTTATCAATATATCCACTAGGACTAGTTTCTCCATCGATAATAGCAGTGCGTAATTCTTTTACTCTTCCAATGTAATCAAAAATATTTTCATTCGGTTTCATATAAATGTTTGCTAATTCACCGCGATATTGATCGGTAGATTTATTGGGGCCGAAAATACTTTTCAATCGTTTGGTTAGTTCGATAATAGTTTCGTATTCTGTGCCCTCGATAGCGGCATAGGCATGTCCTTGTAGTTTATTAATTATTAATTGTACTAAATGATATTCCTGATAACAAGGAATTAATTCTAAAGCTCGTTCACATGCTTTAGTGAAATGGAACATCGAAATATTGTGTCCGTCATATCTCGGAATCGAATCAACTACATCTTTAAAACGAATCGGAGAAGTGTCTGTCGGATTGGATCTATAAGTGGGATTTCTTACGGGGATGTGGTCGTAAGTTGTCTGTAGGAGGTAAATCTGCATTTGAATTGGAAAGTTGGGCGACGCGTTGATTTAAATTTTCTATTTGGAAAGGTAAGGAACTTAAAGCAGAGATTTGTTCTTGCAGTGTGTTTAGTATTATATCAATCTGTCCATTACCAGCATTCGCATTTTTAATCTCGATATTTTGTTGTAATATAGTTAATTCCTGTTGTTTAACTTGTAAAGCTTGAGCTTGTTCCTTTAGCATTTTCTCTTTCTCAGCTACTCTTTTATTAAGTATTTCTAATTCCGCGCGACTTACGCTATCGCTTGACTCAGAAGGTTGATCGTATATTAGGCATGATTATATGATAAACTTTAGGTATTTAGAGTTATATGTATTCGCGTGCTTTTATTTATCCGTGAAAATCTTCGTCAATTCTTTGGTTATACCACCGCTGCCACCAAAATTTTACGATGTCACTCAGTGACTTACTTTTCCCCTAGATACCCCGGTTCTAAAGTAAAGTGCACTCTCTTTATTTTCAAGGCAACCTGCTTACACCGGCTATACCTTGGGGATGCCGAGAGCGAGGATCTGACTTGTCGATAACGGAAAAATAAGGAATCCGCGAAACTTTATGATAGGATAAATTGATTAAATAAGATGAGATTATTTGACATATATACGTGTGTAATAAGTATCTATTAGAATGGAATTTCAAAATTCTCTATTAATTCCATTAGTTGATCGATATCAATATCACCTGCGATATATTGATCTATGAATTCTAATAATATTTCAAGAATTTGAGCTTGCTCATTGGCTGTTAGGGTGAAAAAATCTTTATCGTCGCACGAAGGTTTCATTGGAGAGTCTGTAAATAATTCTCTATCTCACACTGGTTTTCCGGTAACTGAGATTTTAATTGAGTTATTAGATTCGCTAGTTCTGAGGAAGGGCTTTCAATAATATCTTTATATTTAATAATCTCTAAGTAATAGTTATAAAAAGAGTCAAATTCTACGTTTGTAGTAATTGGTTGACAAAATTTCTGCGAAGTAAAATTTTCTGGTAAATAAAAAAGAAATTTAGCTTTGATCGTTAAAGCGGATATAAAATTTTCAGAAAGGAAAACCCTTCTATCTGATTTGACGTAATTAGGGTTTGAGTTAGCTTTTAATTTTTTATTTCAACGGAATCGAGAAATATCACGATATTCACGGATTATTTTACCTGCTCTATGCTTTTTCTTTTTAGATTTTAATTGTGAATTCACCATTTAAGGAATTGATTGAGGAAATTAGTGTGTATTTGTTTTTGTTATTGTTATTATCTGAGTTAGCGTCAGTTCAAGTTATTAAATTGTGCAATTAACTTTTGCGATTTTAGTTCAACTGAAACGTCAATAAATTATAAGGATATGAATGTCTCCGGCATGACAAAGGATGCCGGAGACGACGGGACTTTTAAGGCGGAGTAACGTTATGATAACGGAGTTTGCATAAGAGTAAGGAAATTAGGATGCATCCAGAGGCATGACAGAAGATGCCCGGAAGCGACGGAAAAAGGGAGAAAGAACAAGAAGGTTTTCAGGCGGTACCGCGAAGATGCTGTATCCCTGTATAAGGAAAGACGTTTGAGTTGATAGCAGTAGATTATATAATTTCAAATTTAGTTTATATATTTCGTGAAGCGCCGGTTAACGAATTAATTTAGGAAGTTGGATGCCTCCGGCATGACAGTGGATGCTCGGACGATGGAAATCTGGGGTCGGCTAAAGCTAGTAATGAATTTTTTTGGAGTAAAAATAGGAGAGTGCGGACGTCTCCGGCATGACAGAGGATGCCTGGAAAGATCCAAGAGAAGGAGACACTCGACGCTTAACGGATGAAAGCTTTATAATGTATTTTAATTAATAATTACCTTGACGCTTGCCAGAATAAAATGATAAGTTATTGCAATGTTTATGCTGATTAGGAAAGGAATATTATCAGCAGCATGCTAGTGCTTGACAGTATTGTTATTTATTTAATTCTTGATATCTTGTTTCAGAATGTGTAGTGAATGCAAGGAACGAATAATTGAGTTTGAAAACGAAAGAATAAAATAAAGAATGTAAAGGAATCTGGAATCTACTTACTACTCAGAGGTGGATTTCTGTTGATCGTGGTCGCCTTCGTATACGCGAGGTTTGGGTCTCTTCAAAAATTGAAACGGTAGATATGCACAATTATAATTCTTTTATTTGAATTTGACCGAATGATATAGCAAATTGATACAAAAGTATAGTTTAATTATTACGAATAGCAAGAATATAAAAGTAATAGCGACGAAATGACACTGACAAAAGCGACTGACAGCGAGTCTTTTTTACTGACTAATTATTACTACTGTTCGCTCGCGCCCGAAATCCGGGGTTTATATATTAGTAATTCCTTTGTTCCTTACATGATCTTTTGCTAAAGGAATTCCCGAGTAAGGTGATCTCTTCATCGGACCACGTCGTACTCGGAAGCACCACCGAATTTCTTATCAATTGTTTAGACATAGATATCTTTTTCATTGAGGCGCGGCGGTGATCAAAGAGTAATGCGTGAATTTCATCAGAAGTGTCGGTCGACATCTCCGAAAAATCGATGTTTGACATATTTATGACTTCCTCTTTGATTACCTCACGCAAAAGTTATGTGCTCTTAATTTCAATACTAATATCTAACGCTATCGATATTAAAATTATAGAATCGTTATATATGTATAACTTCTCTTATATTTTAGAAAAGATTTAGAAATATAACTCAATTTAGATAGAATAATCGAATTTAAATTACAGCATATAAAGGAAATTATTTACACTGGTTGTAAATTCATAATGAGTTTAAATAAAGCATTTCAAAAAGTTGAAATAATTTGGTAGTTATTCATTTAAAATTAATCCAATAATTTCCCTGAAATACCTTATTTACTTAAATTATCTATTTCGGTCGCATTTATTTAAATCTAAATTTTAAATTTAACATATATAAAAAGTCCTTATTATATATTGATTAAGGAGTACATAGTTAATTAGCAGGTTAAAAAACCGTGTATAATAGGAACAGTAAACAAGTGTTGAATGTTAGAATTCATATACGCTTATATTAAAATTAAAATTAATAATAATGAATAAAATCGGATTGTAATTAATAAAATCGAATATTCTTACTCCGTGGTTATACTAAAGAAGCAAGATGAGTAAGTGAATAATAACTAAATCTAGTAATTTTTAAAATGGCGGGACGTCACACGTTATCGCGCTGATCTGCTGGAGCCATTATGGTGCGGTCCCATGATACGGAACGTATGCGCAATGCGGAATTGACGGAACGAAGTTCGTCCAATCACAGACATTCCGTCAATTGCGTTCCGTTGAAATATATTTTCTTATGTCCCATGGAGCGGAAAACGCGGAAGCGCAATTGGTGTTGGCCAATCACAAGATTCTTTCCCATAGATTTTTTGTTGTCTATATCGGAACAGCGTACATTATTGGCTCGCGCAAATTACGCTTCCGTATTTTCCGCTGCATGGGACATATGAAATACAAATTTATGCGGATCGGATTCACACATATATGTCAAAAAATTCATGAATTTCATATATAACTTTCAAAACTGACAACAACTTAATATTGAATATGAATTCTGAAAAATTGTTTATTATTATTTGTGGATTGTTAAGTAAATTAAAACAAAGTTGGTGTATATTTAAAAAGAATGAATTACGCCGTAAGATTATAAAATTATATTCATTGTATATAATTGTAAAAAGAAATGAAAATATTAAAAAACGACGAAAATATTGGATGCGACCTATATTCAGCTTAGAAAGAAGATTTCAACAAGGAGCAAGTGAGAATCTTGTAAAGGAAATGCTGATCGAAGACACAGAAAAATATATGGATTATTTTAGAATGGCACCTCAATTATATTTGACGCATTATTAGCATTAGTTGGACCATTCCTTGTTACACTCTTATTTAAAATATTTTTTAATAATATTCTTACGGATATCTGCTGTTTCGACATTTTTCATCATACACACAATTTCGAAGTTCCGCACAAAATGTGTATAAAATAGAAACTTGCGGATAGAAATCGGCGGAACAGACGTAAAACAGGTTAAACCAATCACGAGCGTTCCGCCAATTCCGCATTGCGTATACGTTCCGTGTCATGGGACCGCACCATTAGAGTGACGTCCCACGAGCGCGTATTGCGATACGCGCGAATCGGGCGTATCAAGCTCCGACCAATGACAGACGATCCGTTTTTGATACGTTGATTTTGGGAGTTGATCTTCTTATATCCTATGGAGCGGATTACGCGGTAGCGAATTCAGCGGATCGCTAATCCACGGGATTATAAAGTTGGCTGTAAGCAGAAATAACTAGGATTTCAACCAATTGAAATCCGATTTATTTCTGCTTACGGCCAACTTTATCATCATTTCTATCGTCTTCTAGGATACATAAAGCTAAAGCAATATTCTGATTGGTTCTTCAGCTTACGTTTACGTTTTATGTTTATGGTTATGGTAATTCATGCACGAAAGCCTTAACATAACATAAGAATTTCTTGTGTGTTGCCGTAGGATTAGTTTACGTTCACATAAAGGCCCGTCTACAATGGCAGTATCAGTAGGTCGTAGCAGTTGTAAGCGAAATGAACCATATCCATTTCCTACGGATTTCGTGAGTTCTACGGCGGTTGCGCATACGCAGTCATGGAAGAATTCTGCGTTTTTAATTCTGATTGCGCGTTCGCCGTAGAACATACATCGTAGCCGTAGGAAATGGATTTAGTTCATTTCGTTTACAACTGCTACGACCTACTGATACTGCCATTGTAGACGGGCCTTAACATGTCATCTACAATGGCAGTAGGATTAATGAATTAAAGCTGTAACTTAAGGAATTGACCAATCACAGTCAAGCATTAAAAGAATACTCAATTGTGATTGGTCAATTTCTCGAGTTACAGCTTTAATCCATTAATCCTACTGCCATTGTAGACGACGCTTTAAGCCTATTCTCGCGATTCGTCGCATATCGCGCCATCGCGCTGGTCTGCAGGAGCCATAAGACGATCTCAAATATAAGATCGGACTATGAATACCGACCTGCGTTCGCTTTGTACCAATGATGGTAGGCCAGGTGACTTTTTCGCGCATGCGCAGTAGTAATCACAGGAAAGCAACGGTGTATCAGATAACGGATTATGGGCGGCAAAGTTTTGGCGGGCAAACTGAGGTCGGTGATGCCAGAAAGAAGTCCCGAGTGAATGTTATAGTGTTTTAAAGTACAGCGAGAAAAGTGATTAGTGAAATGAAAATGTGCTGTTGGTCGTTCGTAAAAATTTTTTAAAAATTTTCTTTCAGAAATTTATTTAAGGGCGACCAGTGACACACCTTTTGCTTCTACTAGATACTTCGTTAACGCGATCGCGGCGCATGCGCGAAAAAGTTACCCGGCCTACCATACTGAACCATAGATACTGAACTCAACACATATGCACTGAACGTAGCCAATGTTTTCAGCTCGAAAAGTACGACGATAGAAAAGGACAGGTATTGTTCCACTTTTCCCTCTCGCTCGTTCCATTTTCTCCTACGGCAGTGCACAACATTCCAGTATAGTATAGAGTTCACTTGACTTGGCATAAGCACATCAAAGGCTGCTTCAGAAATCCTACTCGTAAGGTAGAGTGGTATTTAACCTACCAATCGGGATCGAGAAATGTTTGCTTCTTTTGTCGTGATTGATCGATTTGATGTTACTTTACCATGTGGGTAGGATTTCTAAACGCGCCTAAAGGTGCCGACACCGAAGTGACACTACTGTATATACTTATACTGTGCAAATGATCAGTTTCAGCGGCACGTGAAAATGCACCATTAGAGTATACAGTGCGCATACGTATACATACACATAAAAAGGCTGAACGAATCAAAACATTTAATAGCAATTATAATTAGAAAGGTTAAGAAAGATAGAGAAGGAGAGAAAATGATCGAGTTTGAAAAAATAAAGGAATGATCTTTCGCGATGTAATAAAATTGCGAAGAATACAGAAAAGAAACCGCGCTCGCATAATATTTGCCTCGAATTGCCGCGCTGTTATACTCGCCTTTTCGCAAATTTTCACGGCGTAGGGGAATGCGCAAAGTGCAGCTCGCGTGCGCAAATACGCTCGCAATTACGTTCACTGTTATTCACTCGTGCTCGTCAGCGCCGAGAGTCGACAGCCGAGAGCATCGTGCGTGTCGTCTCGCGCACACGCGAGACTTGTCGGCACGTTTCTTACCGTAGAGCTGTCAATGGTTCCGACGAAGACGGTCGAGAGGTTCGATAACTAAACAAAGACGCTGGCCTCGCTCGCGCTGGTAGAAAAAAAACCGCAACGTAACTGAATAAGGGTCTAGTCTAAAGGTTCTAGTGGAAGACGGAGAGAGAGAGAGTGAGAGAAAGAGAGAGAGGGCAGGAGTGAGGAGTGGCGAGGAGAAAGGAAGACGGAGAGGAAAAGAGGAGCAACGAGAGAGTGAGATTCTCTCGCTAGTTTGGCGTAGCTCGCGATCGAAGGATGGATGCTTGAAGCGGAGGATCCTACTAGGCGAGAGACGTTTTCAATGGATCATCGTCGCGACGGTAACTTGGTTTAAAAAAAAAAAAGTCGAGAAGCACTTTTGAGGTTATGTGTTGTTGAAAAAACGACCGTACGAGCGAAACCGGAGGTACCGCATCGTAAGTCTGATTGAGATGCGTTTTCGGATCTAATTAAAGATGCCGTATCGATAACGCCACTCGGGGATCATATCGATCCGATAGTAAAACCTGCTTTGCATCTCGATGAGAGGTGCATTTTCGTGCAACAGTCTGAAGTTGTCAAAATTACGCGCGATTGTTATTTTTAAATTATACGCGTACAGTGAGAAACAGGAAAAGAGGAAGAGATCATTAAGAATATTCGTTGATGGTTCGTAAAATTCAGTCACCTCTAATAATAACGTGTATAATAATTTTATGGCTATTGAATAATCGGATTGTCTAATCACGCTGATTGTTGATATAATCAAAATATATCGAACATTTAATACCTTGACAACGAATTCGCTATTTTTGTAACTAAAGTTAATTATTTCTAAGTGATACACGAAAGATAGTGATGTGCGAAAATTGTGTTACGCCGATTTACATTTCAGTTTGTAAGGATGTATGTAATTTGTTTGTGTTGATAATCACAACTTATTCCTTATTCGAAGGATGTGAATAAATTTTGAGCCGCACAAATTAACATACATTTATCATAATATTGATATTGTATTTATAAAACTTGGTTTACGTTTACAACAGAAGTTCATATGAATGGATGATGCTTGGAGGCAATGAACGGCATGGAGAGACATGGTCACGGACATGGACATTCACACGCGCATTCGCATCGTCATCGCCATTCTCATGGCAGTTCTCAGAATACGCCGCAAAACTCGAGCCAACCGCCTTCAAAACACAGCCATGGTCACGTAACACACACGCAGAAAGATACAGCTGTGCCACAAGTGACTCAAAAGCAAAGGAATTACAAATTATTGGTCGATCCATTTTTAGTTAAGGGTGCAACAAAACTGTGTAGATATGATGGAACTGTTCCAGGAGATCCGACGTATCCGCAGGTTCAGCCTCGAGATCCCAGATCGCAATTGACGAGGATCTGGACCAGACTTGAACAACTTGATTTACCTGTACCTAGATTTAAAATTGATTCAAATTATTGTGGGGAACCTCCTCCTCTGGAAGTAACGTTTTGCCATTTAAATGATAATATCGATAAAACATTTTTGACAAA